GAGTGTAAAAGAATGAGAAAAAAAGAGAAACATTAAGGAGCAAGAACAATAGAAGAGTAATCAAGAAGACAGTAGATAACGATTGACATTGCATTTGAATTTTTGAAGACCAAAACTGGTTGGAAAGCATGGAGCTGGAAGAGTGTTCCACAAGCAAGGAGTGTGAGAAAAGAAACTGTTAACATGGGACTTAGTTATATCTAACCAATTTGACTGTGAATTAATGAGAACTTGCTGCCAATCTAGTGCTGCACTTAAATTCATAAAGTCTAGGTACCATAGCAAGGAGTTCATCTGAACAGTTACAATGAAAGTATGGCTTGTAAGCAACCCTTTGAATTGTTGGTCCCATCACTCTCCAGTTATACCTTTAGAGCAGAGTTACTCAGTGCTATAATTTGTGGTATAACCCAACCTCTTTCAAGTGGGCTAGTATAGTCCCCACTTTTATCTTCTTAAAATAGTCCAGGCCAGTGCTTCTCAACCTTTTCTTCCTTGCGGTTCATTTTTGGCATCAAAAAATTTCAAGCGCAAATAGAAATTCAAAATCAGAGGAAATACATTTTATTTACAAAAGCAAAATATAGTAGAAAATATGTAAATCCCAACTAATGATTACACGTCTCCTGGTGTCTCCAAGCCTATTTAAAATATTTCTCGGGCCCACATTGAGAATCCCTGCCTGAGACTAATCATGTCATAAAATTGTTGATGTATGGAAGAAAGGTCATGATAATCAGTTAGGATATGTTTTATAGTATATTCTTCCTGATATTTTTTTTAGGAGAAACAAGTAATATAGATGATAGGACAAAATTAAATAAAAAAAAAAAAAGTTTGTACCATGCTATTAAAATTAATTATATCAAGCTATTAGTATTTGTGTTCTTAGTGTGATATGAAATGTGTGAACAGGCTTACTTTATGATGGTCAGCCAAATGTGTTTGTGAGTTTGCAGGCGAGGGCTTAGTTGGTGGCTGCTCGCTGTCATCTCTTCATTGTGTGAATGGGTATGTACATATAGATCAAACAGGCCTTCAAAATAGTTTTAAACCCTTTGAAACAGTAGGCTCCTATTTTTATATCCATAAAGAGGATCCAAAATCTGATTTCAAATAGAGGCGTGAACTTTTTGAATACAAGATTTTCATATAATAATTTCACACTGGCTTGTGAAAATCTTTTTCTCAAATTTGTGGGAGTGGTGACGGAAACTGTCCGAAAATAACATGTGGTAGGTCTACATCTATGTCCACAAGTATTTTGGCAGTATTTGCTCTAGCAATTATTGTTTAGGAAACAAACCTTCTGATGGGAGTTTTTTGCTTGAAAAATATATGTAGAATTTAATTCCTATATGGTCAAATACAAAGAAGAAAGTTGAACATTTGAATAATGTGATATGCTAATGCCAGTCCTTAAAGTGGCAGACAATACATTTATAATCAATAGACACCTGAACTGAATATAAAATAGAGACAGAGACTCACTTGGTTTTCTATCCATTTAACATTTGTTTATAGATCCTAAGAGGTTAAGATTTGATAACACCAAGCATGAACCTCCAAACAAATAACTTTAAACAGAGGGCAAAACAAGCTCTATTAAGTATAGAGAAATTTTTTTTTAAAAAATCCTGTTTTTATTATATTGTATAAAATGACAAAATGATTCTATAAATAACTATAAAATCTGGTTAACTATGGCATTTGAAAATATTAATACAATAACCTGGAAAATCAGATCAACTTAGATCAGACTAAGTACAATAATCTTAAAATTTCAACTCTAATGATTAATAAAATAAGCCTAAAATCTAGTGAAATTAAAGAATCAGATTTTATTAAAATATTTTTATCTCATTCAACATCTTGATCATAAAAACTAAAATAGCACTGTTATAAATTATTTTTTAATGTTCTCTACACATCAGTAATATTGTATTTTGGTCAGGTCAAATCAAGTTCCTTAACTATGAAAGCTCAATGATGAGTCAAAAATAACCTCTGAAGAAGATCAGAAATTACTGATCGAAATGTCATGAACTTCATCTTTACTTTAGGGTGAGAGTAACCAACCAAAAATATCATCTTACCAAATGTCAAATAACTCCTCATTTAATAATTTCACATTTCTATATGTGTACCACCTGAAAAACCTTTTTTGCCAAATGTCTAATAACTTATCGTGCCAAGACTTAGCTTGAGGATAAGTGTGCAGTATTGGAAATCATCTTGATAAATGTCTAATTTTTGCTTCTTCAAAAATTTTACTTTACTTCAGGGTGAGTGTAAATTATAAAGAGAATTCAAATATTTAGTTTTTTAATTCCAAATCCCGTGTTTCTCATAAGTATTAGTAATAAAGGAAATCAGAATCATCATCAGACCTTCAACTGCTTCAATTGTGACAGGTAGGAGGAAGGGACATGGCACAAGAAACATCCTGATTCTTCTTCTTTATGTTCCTTTCAGTGGGCTTTCAGATAGGTTGGAGGCGCCCATCTCCTCTCCAAGCTTTTGACTGACAGCCAAAGACCACGGATTATGGTGTTGGGTGCTCTTGATTCATCAACTAGGCCCACAGGTTTCGAATTCAGAGATGTCCTCCCAGACCACTTGCCACCCAAGGCCTTAGGTTGCAGTCAATCCTGCTATTTATCCATAGCTGCAAGGAGAAGAGATGGATTCATGCTTTTCCCAAGGGTATTAGCATGTAAGTTAGTGAATGTAATGAACTAAACTGGAATTTAAATTTGGTTCTCTTCAATCTGAGTCATTGTCCATTATTCCACCATACCTACATTTTAAATAATTAAATTTAAATAAATTATAGTTTTAATTTTTTTAAAAAGATAACTTATGAAATTCCAGACTTCATAAAAATGGAATAGCTGCTATAAAAAAAGATTAAAAAACAACTTTAATGTATTAAAAATTTTGGATTTGAATTAATCAGTTCATAATCATACTTATTATAAAACCCAGGTTGTGTGTGTGTGTGTGTGTGTGTGTGTGTGTGTCTGTTCATTTATATATTGGATCAGATTTCCTACATTTTTCAACCGATTTCAACAAAACTTCACAGGACTATGTAAAATTACCTTGCGGTGGTTCTGACAGCACCAAAAATTGGAAAAACAATTGTTTTTGCATGAAATCAATTTGAAAACACAATTAAGTCGCTAGAATGAAAGGGGGACAACTCATATCGAGTTATACTTATTATAAAACCCAGGTTGTGTGTGTGTGTGTGTGTGTGTGTGTGTGTGTGTGTGTGTGTTTCATATATGGGATCGGTTTCCTACATTTTTCAACCGCTTTCGACAAAACTTCACTTTTTTTTTTGGCAGGTAGTGTTTCTTATTGTCTTGCACACATTTTTCTTTATTTTTACATTCAGAATGCTTTAAAAATTCCATTTATAAGACAATTGTTTATAATAAAATTCTATTCAATCGGTAGACTCATAATGATTGAAAACAATGTTTTTGTTTGACTAATTCGTAAAAAAAAAAAAAAAAAAACTAATTAAGACATGCGTGTCTGTCAACCTTAAACAATAATCTTTGTCAATTTTATTTTTCAGTCTTTATGATGGTTGATACTCTTACTGTTACATCCCTGGGCAACGCCGGGCTCTACTGCTAGTATATAATATAAACAATCATCAAATAAATTTTCTTCACATTGTAGCTATTTTTTTAGAGCAATAAAAGCAGACATATTAAAATTAGTTTCATAACTAAAGAGAAACAATTCATAACAAAATAGAGAGGTAACAAAATATACATATAACTGTAAAATGGTAATACTTAAATATAATGATTAAAAAGAGCTAAACTGGTTCATCAGGCCTCTCTTATCAGAGCAAAAAAAAAAAAAAAAAATAAGGACAAAAAATGTGCACAACAACAAAAAAATAATACACCTATAATTATACAGACTAATGTTAAATGCCTATATATATATATATATATATATATATATATATATGTGTGTGTGTGTGTGTGTGTGTGTGTGTGTGTGACATTAAAGGCTAATTATCTTTAAGACTACCAGCCTTTCTTTCTGCTTACAGAGATGGCTGGTAGGGCTTAATGCATACTGATTCCAAAACTTTCAAATAATAGTCAGTATTAGCTTCACTTGGCACTTAGAAGATGTCTAGGCTATAATACTGGGCCTACTGCTGGTTTTTAACCAAATGTTCAGCTATTGCTGAACCTGACACACCTATGTAAATTACCCACCTTTTCCTTGCAAATATTTTCTTTAAGAAATAGAAAGCTTTCATTAGAAACAAAGAAAACAGTGCTCAGCTGACGTGTAATATCAATCCACCTATGTGATAGTAAATGCTGGACAATTTCATCACAGATTTGAGGAAGGATATAGTTCTACAGAAGGATGCTGAGAATATCACCGACTGAGCAAGTTATCAATGAGGAAGTTTAACAAAAAATGGAAACAAAAAGGGCACTTAGAATCAGAAAGAATTAGTCAAAATTTCTGTGACACATAATGAGGAAAGGGGACTTGGAGAATTTTATACTCACATGACATATTGAGGGGAAGGAAACAATAAGTAACCTACCTAACAAGCTTGTGCAAATAGATAATAGAACATGGAGTGAGAGGAATAGTAAAAAGAAAAGCATTACTAAGAGCTACAAAAGATAGGAAGTTGTGGAGAGACATGGGATACTACATAGAAGCAGCTACTTTTTTTTTTCTCTGGCAGTATAATTATTGAAAAGAATATGAATTCAAAAGTATATAAACTTGAAAAGAAATTCCAAGAAATAAAGAAAAAGCTTGTGATTAAAAATGTTTAAATAAAAAATCATAAATTGTTTTATTATTTAAAAAAAAAAAATTCATTCGGTACTTAATATATAAATCCAGATTGTTAGAATGAATTATTAAAATGAAAATATCTATTATTATTTATAATATAAGATGTAACCAAATGAGCAAATAGTTTTTGTATATGACTTATGGTCATGACATGTTGAGACACCAGTTCTCATTTGATCACCAAAGTTAAGCAACATCAAGACAGGTCAGTATCTAGATGGGTAACCACTTGTGAATACCAGGTGCTGTAAGCTTGGATTTGCAGGTGGTGTCATGGATAACAGCTCAGAATTGGAAATCATCATATTCACTTACACGCAAATATCCTTGGGGAAGGTATTAAGCCACCTCTCCTCACCCCCCCAAGTTATGGGTTAAATAGTAAGAATTTTAGCAGTAAATCTTTATTATCTCTGAAAAATTTCTTTCAACCTAAAAATATTTTCAGGCTTTTAAATAGCCAGCAAAATGGTGATAAGTCATAAAAAATAAATCAAAACAGATTTTGTAAAATAAGTATTAAAAAAACTACTGATAAATACAGCTTCTCTTTAATGAAATAAAAGCTCATATATTTTAAAATATAATGTTTGGATATTGGTATTAACTTATCTACCTTACACTTGGAAGAATCATTATCATACAAAGATGTTTGAACAAGTAAACTCTTCTGTAAAGCAGTATATGACCTCTAGAACAAGTAGAGGAAGCATATAGTCAAATATGTCTGGTGAAGACTTGAAAAGTGAATCATTTTAAACCTCATCAGGAGTACAAGAAAGAAATGAGAGCTCCAATCTGTTTCTTTTCGTAGACTATAATCTGCACATGTACAAGCACAGAGGTGGCGTGACAGGCACAGATCACTTAAGCATTCTATATCAAATCCTAAATGAAACTATTTTAGAAAACAGGGTTTTTGTTTTCTCTCCCAAAGGCAGTGTATGATTTGATCTGTCTAACAACATATCAACTCCTTATGGGTCATTTAATGCTAAAATTTAATTTTCTTGGGAGCTTGGAAGTACTAAAAATGTTACTCTACTTTCACAATTAAATACATGGTAGTTGATACTCACCTTTTGTGCTTAGACATGTTTGGGTGAATATAATTACTGTAAGTAGTTTTGCTGAAGTTATATTTTAGAATACAGTGTGGTTCCTTTAAGAGATCTTGGGTTGATATACTGTTGGTACTTTTACTATAAATAGGTATTGGTGGTAATTTTTTTTTAATAAAAATGTATTGCTGGTAATTTTACAATAATACTTTCATAGTGTCTTGATTTTCTCTGAGGGTTTCACTATTTGCCCATAGCTGGGACCCTAACAGGTGCTACCACCCCGGGTCAAGGTGGACCTGGGAACAACAGCAATAAAGAGGTGGTTCCATGCTCCTCAAAACCTCCAATCTCCCAATCAGAGGCCTTGCTGCCGGATGTAGTTTATCGTCATACCCAGGACTACGAAACCCAGTGTACAAATGACAAGGTATCTATGCTGACGGCGCAAGTATTCGTAGTTGAGACAAGAATGAAAATCAGTGAGCCAAGAAGTAGGACTCAAGATAAACCATTCCAAAACAGAAACTATGATCTGGTTATTTTCTGAAGGCAGGAGAGCCAGAAAGAAAAAAGCAAGTAATCTTCATAACAAGCTTGTGTAAATGGATAATAGAACAAGGAGTGAGAATGTATGATGAAAAGACAAAAATTACTAAGAGCTACAAAGGATAGGAAGTTGTGGAGAGCAATGATCGCCCACATTCTGAAGGGACATAGTACATAAAAGAAGAAACTTTGTTAGGATATGCTGGTGATAAGAACAGAAAATGAAATCAGCAAGCAGTGTTCAAATTCCAGGCCCATCTGTCGTATTTACTTTCACACTAACACCCATGGAGAAGCAATGAATCCATCTCTTCTCCCCCAGCTATGGGTTAAATAGCAGAGTAGATAAAAATTCCTTTCCTTGGTTGACAACCAGTCTAAGAGAAAAAAACAGATTTCCATATGGTGGAAAAGGTAACGTGAAACCACTTTAATATCTTTTCAAATAACGCATGTGATTTATAAATAATAAAGACAAAAAGAAATCTTTGGTGTGTCAACAATCTTTTCTCCCCACTCTAACAGTTATAGGTTAAATAGAAGGATAGACGAGGTTCTCTAGCCTTGGGTGGTAGCCAGATGACAACACATTCCAAACCGTGGAGAAATCAACAGATAACCATGCCACCATTTTTCTTAGGAATACTTCACAATTCATAGACAATAAAGCAATAAAGAAATATCCTGAAGGGACATGGTATTAAGCAACAAAAAAAAAAAAACAAAGAAATAGTTTTCACTAATGGATATATAAAAATAGGAATTTAAGAACTGGTTCTGCAGACTTGTGTTATTTTAGCAAATGGTTTGCATAAACTATTGCAAGCACCTTCAATGCCATTACTATATGTAACCAAGTATAACCTGTTGCATATTACCCGGGGAGGAAATGAGCACTGCCAAATAATTCCCATTGCCTTAAGAAATGCCATGAAGCAGAAATAATCAGCATGAAACTTCAACAATCTAATAGGTTATGGACTGAACAGGTTTGGAGGAAATTTCAAAATAAAGTGTATTTCTGTCTATATTTCTGAGATGAAGTATTGTAAATATTTATACAATTTACATTGTACGGACTGTCCTCCTCTTTTTTAAATACCATATTCATAGCATTTCAGTCATTGTATGCTCTGGCCCTCTTCAGGTAAGATATGTTGGAATTTTGAATTTAGTCCACCGACGTAGATTAGTCTAGTTCCACATGACATGCCTTTTCTGGATATCTAGGTTTCAGTTAATTCCCTTTACTAACTCAACTCTCCAAGTTATTGTTCACCTCTGCTATGGCCAGGTATTGAACTCACAACTCTTTGGGTCAAGTCACTGCATTACTTCAACCAACACTTTTATCCAATCGGCCATAAATAGAAAGTTCAGTTCGAAATTCCAAGATAATAAAGACAATCTTCCAAACAATGTAAATAGTGTAGATAAAGTGTATTTATTTTGGCAAGAACCAATTACCAGATATGAATGACATTGTAGGCACTAATTTTTTTTTTTATCAGCACTCTCTCACATCGGGATCATCATCATCCCTCCCTATTCACTTTCTCCCCTTGGTGGCAGTGGCAGAGATGGCTGTGAAGGCTCAGCCTACTCCTAAAGAGTTGAGCAGGAGTCACAGAGGTGTGTGGGTGGTGGACGTGGCTGGGTGAGTCAGCATGTTAAAGATCCTCTTCCTGTTGACAGTTGGACTCAAAAGGTTTATTCCCTGCCCCAGATTGTCCTATGCCATGGAGGCCACTTTGCAGCAATGGTTTCCGAGGACTCTCAGTTAGCCTATGTCAGGGATGCCTTCAATTGTTTTGTGAAGTGTCATTTTGGGCCGCCATGTAGCCTCTTGCTGCTGGTGAGCTGTCCAAACAGGATGATACATGGGAGTCGAGTGGGATGCATTCTGGACATGTGACCAGTCCAGTGGAGGTGATGTTGAAGGATGGTGGCCTCAGTGCAGGGGAGTGACATCCAAGAGAGGGCCTCATTGTTGGTGATGTGGCCCTTCCAACTGATGTGAAGGATTCCTCGGAGCTTTGTTTGCTAGAACCACTCCAGTTGTTGATGTCCGGACAATACAAGGTCTATGTCTTGCAAGCATACAGAAAGGTAGAGAGGACCATGCACTGAAAGAACATGATTTTGGTTCTTATGCTGAGGCAGTGATTGCTGAAGACACGGTGCAAGATATTAATAGAGGTCAGATAAAAGCTCCCAGTCTGAGATCATTCAAGAATTGTTCGCAGTTCTTATCAAATTTTTTTTATAGTAAATTGTTCAGTGATTATCACCATTTTGGTAGATACCATTTCTGATATGTAAACTTCTTAATTCATAATAACTAAGACCCAAAAATTTGAAACAAATTCAATTATTTAAAACTAATGGAAGATTTAAGACAAGGCATTAAATTTTAAAATAATTCTTTACTTTTCCTTTTTTTATTTTTTTTTGCTTTGCGTGCATACTTTTTTAAGACTTAATTTAATTTTTTGATTTAATTGTATTGTTTAGATTTAACTCTAGGGAGCAGCTTCCTACTATCTTCAGATTTGAATTTTCCCTGTGAAAATTTATTATGAAATTTATTACAAAGTTGTTTCATTTAGGAAATTATAAATTATTTATTACATATTTTGATTTGTACCAATAAAAGCTATAACATTTATTGCTAACTTACCGTGAAAGTGCTAAAATACATTGTTATTAACATTTTTAGCTAATAATTATTTCATTTTAAATGCTAATTAGTTGTGTAGAAAATAGCCAAAAAATGTTTCCTCTAATTATTTGTAAAATCATTTATCACAGGCAATGTTAAAAATGAATAGTTTTAATTATATTTAAAATAGGGGAATGAACTTATATGGGTTATTCAGTATTACCATATTTACTTTGAGGAATCTGAACAAGTGAGATTTCCACAAAATCTAGTCAGAAAGAATTATATATGATAAAATATAGTTTTACTTTTAAGGTAAAGCTATATTTATGATTAGAAGTGCTCAATATCAGGGACTGAATGTATGTAAATATAAAAAGTGGACGTTGAAGTCAAGACCAAGACAAATGATTGTGTATGTGAGTAAAGCTGATAAAGTGCACAGAAAAACCAATATGATGGGCAATTTCACACCCACTCAGTCTTCAAAAAGAACAACTTGTAAGGACACAAGGAAAATAAAATAAAAACTCATAAGATGTTCCTTGCATGTCAAATTTAATGAAACATGCATAAAGTACTGCAGTGTATGTATATATATATATATATATATATATATATATATATATATATATATATATATATATATATATACACACACTAGCAGTATAACCTGTCTTTTTGACCGGTATTTCATTACTGGTAATTTCTGCCGTTCATTTGGAGCAGTTCAACTTTAAAGTCAGCCCACCCAAAAATCAATATTAGTAACAACAATTGGGTGCAACTGAGGCACATCCCCAAATGGGGGGGTAACAATTCAAAGAGGTGGTGGCCCTGAAAATGGAACTCTATAATAATAAATAATATAATTGTAATAATTTAAACTATTTTTATTAAAGTTTTTATGAAAGATATATATCCAAGAACAGATAGTAAATAGTAAAACGTTGCTGATAGTAGGAAGTAGTGGAGAGCCA